AATTGTATAAGCTAAACCGAGAACTAGAACCCAGGGCTTATATAGTTGAATAAATTTCACTCTTATCAAATGAGTGTATTTCTTACTGTATGATAAATGTTTGTAGAGTTATGGTGAAAAATGATATGCTTAATTGTTGTGATAAATAAGTTGAGAATGTTAATATATGCTAGAATATTTAATTAATATTTTGAGTTGCTTAGTTTTTAATTGTGTGTTGTATATTGAAATGCTGAGTTTTACTGTAAAAATATATATATGGCTAAGTTGTTAAAGCCGGATGAAATTGCTAATTTTGCTATACTGCTAAAGCTTAAAATGAAAGATTTGTTGTGCTGTAATATGTTGATTTAGCTGTACTACATCACATTTATCATTATCATCCTAGAGCTGCCTAGGACATTCAGTTGTGCTGTGTTTGCATCCAGATACCGAGATGAGTCACTCCCAGACTAAAAAATAGTTCCTCTAGATTACTTAGGCTATGAAACCAGATGGAAACTGAATTGCAGCATTTGTATTAGATGGACTGGGAATGGACTGGACATGCTACATTGTTTTTATTGAAGCTGTGTAATGTTGTGCGCTAATTGTTATGGGCTATTTAAATAATTTTACCTATATTCATCATATTTCCTTAATGAGGTTGTCAATTTATATAAGCTCACCCTTGCCTTTTGTTGTATTGGTATGTATATGCTACAATGATCGTACGATGGTACGTAAGAAGAAGGTATAAGGAATGCATCTACTTCTCAAGTTGAAAGGTCTAACTAAGAGGCATTGGAATTAGCATTTTGGAAGAGTATGGAGTTAATCATTTTGTTGATTTAGATTTTAGTATTAGATTTAGTCTGTTGGGTTACTAATTTGTTAACGAATGTAATGATATATCAAACACTTGTATTTTGAATCCCTAGCTGAATCTTTGTTGTAAATATATAAATTTATGTAAATTTTTAGTATTATACAAAGGTAGTTATATATATTGTTATTTTATCAAAGTGAATAAAAAATTTTAAATTACGATAAGTTTATACTCTTGGACTTGTGTATGCAATATCTAATAAATGAGTAACGGAATTAAGAAGAGTACTGCAGAATGTCATTAATTTTCTATAAAAGGGGTCGTGACAATTAAACTTAAGTCATGAGCTCAATTTAGTTTTATTGAAATTATAAAAAAAATGAAATTGTGGCCTATCAGTAATTGGGGTTTTTGAAGTTTTACCATTTGTACAAGTTTTCTGATTATTGTTGACATTCCTTTATTTCTTGCAATCATATTGGATGTGTTGTTAGCATATAGCTGAATTTTGTATGCCAAATGTAATTACCATTTCTTTGATGAGTTAGTAATGGTTCAAAAGTTTTTTAGAATGCATTTACCAACCTATGATATTTACATTCGTGTATTCAAGATGGAAAGAAACTGTACATGATTCAAAAACTTTTTTGGATGCACTTAACAACCTAAATGTAAATTTTTCATGACCATCTAAAGGTGAGTACTTATAATATAACTCAGCTATTGTTAATTGATAAAAAAAAAAGTATATGTGTACCTTTTATACTAATATAAATTACTTTTTAGAATATATTTATTATTTTTTAAAATGTGTCTTTCCTTAAAAATTTATTTAGAAAATACAAATTATACTATTATTTTAAAATGTTAAAATTTGATTAAAATATTTGGACTTTTTACTGAAAAAAATTTACTATCATTAATTCAAGATGTTGTTTGAAAATAAATTACAAGGTCATTGAAACTTTGAATGGAAATTAATTTAAGTTGACTTTTGTTATATAAATTAGGACATATTTGTAAACAACAATATTATATATTATTTATTTTATGTAAAAAATCTTAATGTGTGATACAACAATATTATAATAATGTAGTATTTAGAATTGAATTTTTTTTTTTATCAACATGCATTATCACTCCTTAAAAGAAGAATAATGAAGTTGGACTAGACATTAAATTGAACTTGAACATCAGATTGAAGGAAAAAAAAAATCCCTGGATTAAAATATATAACTTGAATCTAAAGTCGTTGGTGCTTCATTAACATTTACCTTAATTATCTTTTACAAATTGTTGCCAAGTTTTTAATAAATTTTGTTTTAATAGGAATTTGTTAAAATTATGTGTTAAATTGAGATATTTACATTATTTAATACTTTTTATAATATATAAAATTAGCTGATTCAACTATTAATTAAAGATTTTTCATAAGTACATTAATTTTATAAAAATCCATTAAAAATAAAATTGATAAATAATTTATTATATATAATATATTTTTAAAATATAAATAAATATCAAAATTTAAATAATATTTATAAATATTTAAATATTAATTATAAATATAATATAAGATAATTAAATAATGAAATTAATTAATTTTAGGTACTATAAATTCCAAAGTTTGATGGCTGGTGTCATCAAATATCCACTCATTTCATAAAAGCTGCTATTATATCCGAACCAATAAAACAGCGATGTCATTTTCTGACATTTTCGTTCGTCTTTAACCATAACACCCGTTGATTCGTGTAACACAACTTATTCAACTTTACAACATCATAAGAAAGAAAAGAATTGCATCGATATTAATAGTCTAAATGATTTAATATGCCATATTTGCGCGAGTCATATTATCTAATACTTTTAATTGCAGTATTATTAGAGTTATTTGAACATTTATTTGACAATGCATAACGAAGACCATTCTCAACAAATTGTTAGGGCGAGCAAAAATAATTAAATTTTAGGGTTAGTTAATTTATTTTTCTCTAATTTCAACTATGAATAATTTTGAAAAATATGCGAATTTATTCTCCATTAAATTATTTTTTGCTTAAAAGTTTAGCTTTATTCAAATTTTGAAGGGTTTGTAAGAAGTTTGGAGAATAGAATTATTTTTAAAATGTGCAAAAACTTGAGTTTTTTTTAAAAATTATAATACTTGTTACGGTAACTTGAAGAGGAAAAATTTTAAAATAGTTTTATTTTTTGATAAAATTTAATATTTTAGTTTGTTAATTTTTAATATAAGACAATTTATATGACTATGTTTGAAAGTTAGATAAAAAAAGAAGGAATTAATGAAGTTTAAACTTTGTATGGAAGGATTAGAAAATTTTTAGAAATTCTTAATTTGTTAAGTTATATTTTTTCTTTCTATCACTTTTTTTTACTCTTTTATGATTAAGATTTGATTTTTTTTAAATATTAGTTTCTTAAGTAAAGATTTTTTCTTAGAAGTTATAAAAAATAAAAATATTAATTTTAAAAAGAGAAAAATATTTTTTTTTAAAAATAAAATAAAAATAAAAATAATAATAATATAATTTATATAATTAAATTCTCATCATCCTCGATTCTTAATATTAAACATTCAACAAGTTTAATCTTTTTCTCTCTCTTCTCTTTTTCTTTCTTCTCCTCTCCTTTCTCATTCAACTTTTTTTTTCTTTGTCTGCTTATTATTTTTAAAAAAAAGTTAATTTAACTTAAAAATAAATTTAAAAAATCAAAATTATAATACATCACACACAAATTAGAGGGATTAAAAAACATATAAGCTAAAAACTTCAGCATACTTCATTATGTTAAATAAGAAATTTCTGATGTATTACAAAAATATTTTTAAATTTAAGTAAAATTTAAGATATAAATTACTGTAATTAATAATGATAAAATTATATTTAAATTATTCGAAAATTGGGGCAGCGAAGTGAGGGGCAGAAGAGGGCCAAGTCCCTTGTCTCCTCAAATTTCGTAATAATGTTAACGTGTATTTCTGAAACACCAATTTAAAGATATTGAATATGTGTTATTAAGTATATTTAAAAAATATTTAAAGGAAAAATTGTCAAAAATATATTAACTGCATAATTATGTTAAGAAATTATAAGGTTATAATATTTTCTTATAAAAATTTAAATTTATATATTAAGTGCTTTTGTTACTTTCAAAATTAATATTAAATATTTCTACGACGTTAATATGATAATTTTTTTTTAATAAATTCTTTACGCTTTACCTTTAATCAGTATTCCAAATAACCAGTGTGTTGACATTCAATCCAATACATATTGTATTGAATATATTTAAAATAAGCTTCATTAAATTTTTAGTTTCATAAAAAATTATAATTTTTTAAAATCAGTTCTTCTAAATATATATTTTTATTGAATGATTCATTTGTCATATTTTTTTCATTTATTTCTTTTAAATATTATAAAATATTTAATTTGATCACTTTAAATATTATTATTTTTTCTAATAAATTTTATAAAATTTTCATTAACACTCTTAAAATGAGAGACTAAATAGAAACTTACGATGTTTCAAAAAATAAATAAAAATTAACAAAAGAGGTCATCTTACAAAAATACTTTATAGATAAGTCATTTAAAAAAATTAAAATAAGAGGCTAAATGAAATAATAAAAAAATTAGAAAATTAAAGTGAATTAAACTTTTAAAACATTTTAAATTTTATACCAAGATTTTTTATTAGTTTAAGATTCATGTTTTTATACTATTAATATATCAGATTTATACGTTATAACTTCTAAAATTCACCATATTAATATCGTTTTATATCTTAATTTAGTTATTGGAATAATTTTAAAACTTCTTATCTTTTCTTTTAAATTTTAATTAATAAATAAAAATATTAAATATATTTTATAATTTTCAGATAATAAATGTATATATTTATTTGTATAATATGCAAAATAATTATTAAAAAATGAAAAATTATAGGAAGAGGGTGTGAATGTGAATAAATAGTTGGATGGGGAGGAGTGATTGGTTAAGGCAAGAAGAAGTCTTAGCGTAGCAGAGTCAAACCCGTGCGAGCCAATCTTCCTCGAACCGGTCAGCAAGGGCGGCTCGACCGCCTCTCTTTGCCACTTTCAGTTACTACTTCCCTTCCTTCCTGTGACTCTCAATAAACAAATACCCCAAATTACAAACACGCTATTGATTTGACATTCACATTCCCAAACAAACCACATCAGTCACACTTTTTTTCTTATTAACAACAACAACAACAACAATCCTCCCTCCTTTCATTCGCTTATGTTATTCATTAAAATAAACCCCTTAGCATGATATGATGTCACAAACAAATAAATATCCACAAGACACCACCAGTAGTGTTTTTCATAGTTCAATTCTTTTGTCCACCAAACCAACAAAATTAAACAACACCCCAATGGCCTCAACTCCCTCACAGTTTTGAAAGATTCACTCTTTATTTTATTCTCTGAGACAACCATCAAGTACATGAGTTTTACTCAAAGAAGAAAAACACATAGCACTAGAGAAGCATCATTAATGTCAGAACAGGAAACCGATTCACGGGGCTTCCTGTTTGTCTGTTTCTTGATCCTTCTCGCAGGTACTCACTCAGAACTCTCTCTCTCTCTCTCTCTCTTTATTTTGCTTTTCAAAAGACAATTCAAGCTCCTTTTTGGGTGATTAATAATTGGTTTGTTGATGATGAGTGAAGCTCATAATTGATGTATTGTATACCTTAATAAGAATCTATGTTTATTTTTAAGTATAATAACTTGGTGGGGTGTTATTAGATTCTCTATTTGTTTGTTTTATTTTGGTTTTCCGAGGTTGATACTGTCTTTCGTGTTTACCGAGAAAATTAAGGTTGTGTGGTGATTCTACAGGTAAATTAGTTGCTGGGGATTCATTGGAAACGGACAAACAAGTTCTGCTGAAGCTGAAATCGTACTTGCAAAACCAAACAGTAGCAAACAAAGGAGGGTTGAATTGGAACAAGAACACTTCAAATCCATGTGAATGGTCAGGAATCTCGTGCAGCCTATTTAATGGGACAAATTGGAGGGTCGTGAAAATAGACATCTCTGAGAGTGAGATTGCTGGTAAGATATTCAACAACTTCTCACAACTTACGGAGCTCACACACCTGGATATCTCTTGGAACTCGCTCTCTGGGGTGATTCCCGAGGACTTAAAGGAGTGCCACAAGCTTGTGTATCTCAATCTCTCCCATAATCTGCTAGAGGGTGAGCTGAATTTGAAAGGCTTGACACAGTTGCAAACATTGGACTTGTCTCTTAATAGGTTTGATGGGGAACTTGGGTTGAGTTTCCCTGCCATTTGTGACAGTTTGGTCAGTTTGAATGTTTCAGCTAATCATTTAAGTGGCGGGATTGATGGATTCTTTGACCAATGCTTGAGGTTGAAATACTTGGATTTGAGCACCAACAATCTGAGTGGGGCCTTGTGGACGGGATTTTCCAGGCTGAGTGAGTTTTCAGTTTCTGAGAACCATCTCAATGGGATTGTTCCTTCCCAGGCTTTTCCAATGAATTGTAGCCTTGAAAAATTGGATCTTTCTTTAAATGGGTTTGTTGGTAGAGCTCCCAAGGAGGTTGCTAACTGCAAGAATTTAGTGGCTCTTGATCTTTCTAGTAACAGTTTTACTGGAGATGTTCCCAGTGAATTTGGGTCCATTTCTGGTCTAGAATCATTGTTCTTGGAGAACAACAGTTTCTCAAGAGATCTTCCTGAGACCCTTTTGAACTTGACCAAATTGTTTATCTTGGATTTGAGCAGAAACCGGTTTGGTGGGGAGGTACAGAATATTTTTGGGAAATTCAAGCAACTGAAGTTTCTTATGCTGAACTCAAATTTCTACACTGGAGGGTTGGATACATCAGGCATTTTTACTTTGACAAACCTTAGCCGCTTAGACCTGAGCTTCAACAACTTTTCAGGTCCATTACCTGTTGAAATCTCACAAATGTCTGGACTCACTTTCTTAACCTTAACCAACAACCAGTTCTCTGGACCTGTTCCATCTGAATTGGGAAAGTTGACTCGCCTTGTAGCACTTGAACTTGCTTTCAACAGTTTCAGTGGACCAATCCCACCAAGCCTTGGAAACTTGAGTTCTCTCTTATGGTTAACCATTTCAGATAATTCATTAACAGGGGAAATCCCACAAGAGTTGGGAAACTGCACTAGTCTGTTATGGTTGAACCTTGCAAACAACAAACTATCTGGGAAATTTCCTTCTGAATTGACAAGAATTGGAAGCAATGTAGGTGCCACATTTGAGGCAAATCATAAAAGCATTGGTCGAGTTGTTGCTGGCAATAGCGAGTGCGCATCAATGAAGAGATGGATACCTGCTGATTACCCTCCATTCAGCTTTGTGTATTCCATCCTAACAAGGAAGAATTGTAGAGCCCTTTGGGACAGATTGCTAAAAGGATATGGTATTTTCCCCATGTGCACATCTGAGCCCTCTTCTAGATCAACACATATATCAGGGTATGTTCAGCTAAGTGGGAACCAGTTGAGTGGTGAAATTCCATCAGAAATTGAAAACATGCTGAAGTTCAGCATGTTGCATTTGGGGGATAACAAGTTCTCTGGGAATTTTCCTCCAGAGATGGTAAATTTGCCACTTGTGGTCTTGAACATGACCAGAAACAATTTTTCAGGTGAAATTCCAAGGGAAATTGGCAGCATGAAGTGTCTACAAGATCTGGATTTGTCTTGGAACAATTTCTCTGGAACATTTCCCGTAAGTTTGGCCCACTTGGATGAACTTAGCAGGTTCAACATCTCATACAATCCCCTCATATCTGGTGTAGTCCCACCAGCTGGACATTTGCTCACTTTTGACAGAGATTCATATTTGGGTGACCCCCTCTTGAGCCTCCCAAAGTTCTTTAATATCTCTGATGAAAGAAACAACACTCTTCACAAAGTCTTGAAACGACCCACAAAATGGTCTTTGTTTTTAGCTCTTTCGCTAGCCATCTTGGTCTTTGGACTTCTTTTTCTTGTAATTTGTTTCTTGGTGAAAACTCCATCTGTGGAACCAGGATACCTCTTGAAGGATAGGAATAAGCAAGGGCATGATTCAAGCAGCTCCGGATCCTCACCATGGTATTCTGATACCGTTAAGATATTCCACTTGAACCAGACAGTTTTCACACATGCAGACATCTTGGAAGCAACTGGAAACTTCAAAGAGGACAGGGTCATAGGAAAGGGTGGCTATGGAACAGTGTATAGAGGAGTGTTTCCTGATGGGAGAGAAGTGGCAGTGAAGAAGCTCCAAAGGGAAGGAATTGAGGGTGAAAAAGAATTCAGAGCTGAAATGAAGGTTTTGAGTGGTCAAGGATTTGGCTGGCCTCATCCAAACCTTGTCACACTCTATGGATGGTGCCTCTATGGTTCACAGAAAATACTTGTTTATGAGTACATAGGAGGTGGAAGCTTGGAGGATCTTGTGACTGATGCAACAAGGTTGACATGGAGGAGGCGCCTAGAAGTTGCAATTGATGTGGCTCGGGCACTGGTCTATTTACACCATGAATGCTACCCTTCTATTGTGCATAGAGATGTGAAGGCTAGCAATGTGTTGCTGGACAAAGATGGGAAGGCCAAAGTCACAGATTTTGGACTTGCTAGAGTTGTTGATGCTGGAGATAGTCATGTGAGCACAATAGTGGCTGGCACAGTGGGCTATGTTGCACCAGAATATGGGCATACATGGCAAGCCACCACAAAAGGGGATGTGTACAGTTTTGGGGTGGTGGTTATGGAGCTAGCAACTGGTAGAAGAGCAGTGGATGGAGGGGAAGAGTGTTTGGTGGAGTGGACTAGGCGTGTTATGGGTTCTGGAAGACAAGGGTTGAGTTTGTGCCATTCTGTGCCATTTTTGTTGATGGGGTCTGGGCTAGTTGAGGGTGCAAAGGAGATGGTTCAGTTGCTCCATGTTGGAGTGAAGTGCACTCATGATGCACCACAGGTTAGGCCTAACATGAAGGAGGTTCTAGCTATGCTTATTAAGATAAACAATCCCAATGGAGACTCAAATTATGAGTACCTTGTGTAGTCTTTTGTGATTTAGAGAGAAAAAAATGTGTACAGTGTAATTTGCAATACAGAATACATAGAACAAACATGTCATACACAGTTCATTCATCTCTTGTAAAGAAACTCCATTCGTGTTGAAGAATTAGCTCAATTTTGTTCTGTATCCATGAGATTTATCTTTGTCACTCTACTCTTGTTTAACACCTTTTGATGTAATAAGCACCTGTGCTCAATTTGTCTTAATCAGGGTAAATAATTAATTTCCTTCATCCATCCAGAAGATTCCTATCTTGTTCTTTAAACTAAGGTAACAAATGTTATGGAGGATATCTGTACTGAAAGACAACATGGAGCGAATCCCATTATAGAATTATAATTTTTGAATAATACAAATTTGCTTTTATTAAGGATACATTGGTGAAGTAATGTGACACGTACATTGAATGGAATGATGTATATTGTCATTGATCAAAGCAAATGTGACATGTCAAATTTTCCAATTCTTATTCATAATGTAGAAGGTGCTGAGTTTCGCATGCCTTCAACTCCCTACACCTTTGGTAACATACTCCCTCATCCTCTTAAGAGTGTATTCAATGTCCTATTAGTGACCAAAACATGAATCGTTTCATCTTCAATAACAACCATTATTTGGTCAAATTGATGAATGACAGCATTAATCAACACCCAGCAGAAAATTATTATTGGTCACAAATTATTTATCAATTATTATTATTTGAAGAATTAAAATTAATACTGCACCAGATTTTACTTTGTATCTTTTTTATATATATGTATTTATAAGATACACTTAAATAATAAAGAAGATAGCTAAAAGTTATTTCCTTAAATTATTCAAAAAGAAATTTAATCATTTATCATTAAAAGTGGATGAAAGAAGATGAGATGATATGTTCTGTTTATGTTTTATAATGTGAGTTTGTGTATTTTGTTAATGTATTTATTTACCATTAGAGTTGTTAAATTGGACTAACTTTAACTAATTTATTTCTTATTCATGAGAGTTGAGACAAAAAAGTTTGAGATTAAAAAGCCTATCATGTGAAAGGCCAAAAGTCCATAAAATTAAGTGAGTTAAGAATAATCTATGAATTAATTACTTTAAAAAAATTATTATAATTCATTAAATTTTTTTATATAATATTTTTTACTATAAACTTATAGACAAATAAATTTGCTTACAAAATAGATAAATAATTAAATTTATACAATATTAAATATTTAGAATAAATTATTATTATTAAATAATATTAAATATAATATAATATAATATCTTATTATCAAATTTTAAGTTATATATTTATCTAATTTTTATTTTTATTATTGATAATTATTAAATTATAGTAACATTTTTAATTCATATAATTTTATAAATAATTTCTTAACACATTATTTTATAATTTTATTTGAATATTAACCATAAAATATTTTATGTTTTAATACTTTTATTTTTTATTTGTTTATTTTTATAAAATTATTTTAGAAACATCACATGTTTAATAAATATTTTTAAAGTCGCAAAAGCTAAAAATGAGAAGTAATTATAAATAAATTTGCTAAGTCACATGCTGTTATTTAAATAAAATTTAATGTGTCAAAAAAAATTAAATGCAACACCATTATCATAAAAATAGTAGACATATAATATTTAAGGTAAAATTACTCTTTTTATCACTTAACTTTAGAGTAAAATTCATTTTCGTTCTCTAACTTTTTCTTTGTTCATTTTAGTCCACTAACTTTTTAAAAAGTTTTAAATAAGTCATTTTCCGTTAAAGACCCTAACTCCATTAAAAAATTTTGTCATTTTGTGCCACGTGTATTGTACATTATTGTTCATCGTCTTCCTTTGATCTTGTCTCCAACATTTTTTTTTTCCTTTTCATCTTCATCTTCTTATACTCAAAACTCTATTTTATTGCCACTAACATCAAGCACCTACCCCTAAATCTGAAACCATAAACAAATTAACTCTTTAAATATCTATTTTTCATCTTTGGCATCTATGTTGGAGAAGGTGAGATGTACTAATGCAACAGTTTCCTCCTTAGTTTGTGGTCTCCTTTTGTAGGCTCAAAGTGCTCTCGATTACTCAAGGAGGGTGAATGAATAAAAAAAAAACAAAAATGATGAACTTACAGTGTCAAAATATCTATCAAAATTTGTGGTGACTTGTGCTTCAAGTGGACTAACTTGGCTAAAACAAAATATGGAAAAGATGATGAACAAGTAAGAAAAGATGAAAGATGAGCTCTTTTATTTTGATTTTGTGGCAAATTGCAGAGGTCGCCTTGAGAATCATGTGCCAAAAACATAATCAAAAAATGCATAGTCACTTGGCATGTAGAGCTGAAGAGAAAAAACCTAATGGGAGAAGGTGGTTTTTTGAATGCAGTCAAGGCCATTCAAAGGGCAGTATCCAATATGAAAAAAGACCTCTTTGAAGATGCAGAAAATTGAAGTGCAATGTATAAAGCTAAGTTTGGAAAGTACAGTCCTAACTATTTCGTCGACAAAGTTCAATATTCACTACACTAAGTATTTGGCCTTGCACGACCTAAATTTACAATGAGAATGAAATGTTCCACACTTCCTAATTGGCCATTTTGAACTCGAGGCAATGGGTGCAGCTAGGCAGAGTATTTGCATATGAAAAGCTTTCAAAATTTTAGGTCTAAGGCTTTAGAAAATTGGTTGCTAGTGGCAAAAAAGATGGAGTTTCAAGTATAAGAAGATGAATATAAAAGGGAGAAGGAAGAAGTAAAAGTTCCAAAGACAAGCTCGGAGATTTGAAGAGGAAGATAATGAACAGTAACACACAGTACACGTAACATAAAATGACAAAACTTTTTAACAGAGTTAAAGTCTTTAACAGAAAATGACCTTTTTAAAACTTTTAAAAAGTTAAAAGATTAAAATGAATTAAAAAAGAAAAAGCTAGAGGACGAAAATAAATTTTACCTTAAAGTTAAAGGACGAAAAGAGTAATTTTGTCAATATTTAATATTATAAAATTCATGAACATAGATAAATAAGTTATGAAATTAGTAAAAATTAGTGAATATTTGTAATTTAAATTTTGTACAGAATTTATTTTTAAAATGAAATTATTTAATTTGATACAATTGATAGATTTTTTTTGAAATATATCTTTTACATTTAAAATATAATTTTAAATTAGTTTAAATAAAAAAATTTAAGAAAAATTACTTTTTAGAAAAGGTTAGTTAACCTCATGTAACCCTCTAAATCACTTCACACACACACACGTATTAAGCCCTAGGGACAAAGTAAGCCTACTGTAGACGAATTAAAAAAAGTGCGGTTATATATGTAATGGTTTATATGGATGAATTGTCGGTTATAGCCCCACCCCATGTTTAACACTCTAATTATCCTATTCTCTTTCTTTTTAAAATTGATTAAAATATCCTGTCACTGAATAAAATACCTTCTATACTTAACACAAGTAAATTGTGTTTGCTTATGATTTGTCCAAAATCCTTACGATAAAATTCTTGGAAAGATTAATCTGTGCCTAAATGCACCAACTGAACACTTTGATCACTTGCTTAACTTGTATCTGTCAGCAAAGGTAAGATTGATCTTTCTTCTGTTATGCTCTGAATGCAAACATTTTCAACTAAAACAAATATGCATGGGTGTAGATGTAACAACAGGTCAGTTAATTTACTTGCCCGTTTTTAGCCACGCATGTCAATACAATCACTCTATATCACCATCGTATAATAAGGTAATATATAATTACCGTGATATATAATATTTAAAATAATTTTATAACTCACGTACTGCGGATCGTAATCTAGTTTATGAATAAAGGGGGAAAATGTGAATTAATGATTTTTTAGTAAAAAATGGCATATCCCAAACAATTAAAATGTATACTCTGATTGGTTTGATCCCGAAGTCTACTTAAACTCTTTGTGGTGTATTGAATTAGAATTTTAAAAAACATTTTAAGTTGAAAAAAGTTCTGAAAATTTTAAAAGACTTTACAGAATTTTTATGACTTTTAAAATTTTTTAAGATTCTACAAATTTTTAAAATCTTGATTTTAATAAATTCTGCAAGATTTTTAAGTCAAAATTTTAATGGATTTTATAGAACTTTGTGTACTTTACAATAAACTGCTTAGCCTGTGAGAAACAGAAGGTTAGGAAGGGAGAAAGGATATTTCCCAAGACTACTGAAAGAGCACAGATTCGGCTTGGGAGTTCTCACTCGGGCTACTAATCTCCTCTTCTCCTACTCATAAGAACCAGAACAGGCACTCGTAATCGTCCCTAACCTCTGTCTCTGAAGATGCTTTGGAGAAGGAGACTCGCATGTCAAAGTCCGAAGCTGCTAAGAACACGAACGCTCCCTCCGAACTGTTCGAACCTATTTAAGCTGCTATTAAGAGTTTGATAGTCGGTCAGGAATGACGTCCGGTCCGCGCGAGGGGAACGGTCTCATTCATTGGCAGGGGAGTGCTCTAGTTGTCATTTTCAGTTAGGCTTCTTGGTTGGCTTCTCTGCCTTAGTCTACTCCTTGCAAGGTGGTCTCGCACGTAATGAGCCCCGGGATAGGAGTGGGCCCTACGCGCAGGCAACAGCAGCACCGACTCTACGAAGTCAGAATCGAATCTTTGTGTTGGCTTTCCCAATTCATTCGTGAATAAGAATTCAAGGGCTAGAAGCTCTAGCTTCTAGCTGCTTCGCCTTCCTTTTTTTTAAATGAAAGATTTGTTTCTAACAACTGATTACAGAGTATATCATTCAGACCTATATAATAGGACGAGCTTTGAGCGAATTCTTATCTCTTCTCTCTCTTAGGCCAAGCTTCGAACTTTCTATTTTTAGTAAGTTCCTAAGCTTGTAAGAAAGAGCGCCACTACATTTCTTGATTGGTTTAATTGGTATTTTCTTTTATGGTTCATATTCTGAATTGGGCTCATCGAAATGAAAGCGTAAGAACTTAATAGGACCAATGATCTATTAGATCGTGTCCTTAGACATCGCGATGCAATTATATCCCATCTTAATTGAGTGTGTATATTTTTAGGAAAATTTCATTCGGGGCTTTTAGTCGTTGTTGAATTGCTACTACTACTAGTACTAGTATTCAATTAAAGCAGTAGGCAGGAGCGAAACTCGACCGAAGGCTCTTTTTTTACCCTTTACAAGATAGTAACTAAGCTTTCGACCAACAGCAACTAACTTCCCTACATAGCTACACCGGCCTCGCCCTATTGGAGATTCCAACCCAACTATGTAATATCCCAAATATGTAATAGTACATCACTTCACTCAGGTTTTACCCTGCGGAGCTAGTACCAGTCGTTCAGTCCATAACTACAACTACTGATCAGGGAATCGACTGCTCTA